GCTGTTGTGCTCAGGTCCAGAATGCAGGCTTCCCCCAGACATCTGGTCAGTCACTGCGAGGACAGAATGCTTAACTGGATAGATCACTGGCCTGATCCAACAAGCTCATCCTATGTTTTAATATTCCATGAAGTCCTGTGCCATGGTAAATAAATGTGTTCATCTTTCAGGTGACGCAAGACTCTTGGTTGCTTTTGCTTCTTTATGCCTACTTCTTATTCCTTTATTATTATTTTGAAGGTCCAAAGTGCACAACACTGACTACGATGAGATAATGTCTCATAGAAAATATTACCGCATCCGTTGCTGTTAGACAAATAGTGGTTGATATTCTACTAATAAGGCTTACTAACAATTGGGAAGTGTGTGTTAGGGACCAGTGCTGTGGTTAGGGACCATCTGACAGTCCATCGGATGTGCATCGCCGGATGTCCACAGATGTCCTTCGTGGCCCCAGGAGAATACTAATAGCCCTATCAATATGGGACAAATGGACTCTGAAGTCGCCTGCCGTGTGTTCCCACACTTAATAAGCTGTGAAACCTACTTTCGCAATGCCAAAAGGAATTAATGGATCTGCCATGACAGCCTCTCGAAGCTCTTAAGAAGGCAAGCCCTTTTTATTTTTTTAACTTGTGGAATGTAGAGAAAGATAGAAACAGTCAGAAGAGAGATGTGTCTGAATAACTGAGATTGCAGTGATGGAGGGCCGGGGATTGCACAGTTGGCTTACCTTCCTGGCACGGAATGGAACAGTTATCAAATTCCGAAAGGATTAGACCCTTTGGCTAAACAAGCAAGTGGGATATTCCAAAGGGGTGAGGGTGCAATTTCCCCATATATTTTTTGATACTTTATTTAGAAAGAAAGAAGAAAAAGAACAATACATCAGTACAGAGGTGGTATCTGATGCCTTCATTATACAGTTTTTAGCGAATGCTAAAAAATGCTTTTTATTCTGACTTTTAACACTTGAGGTTAAAACTTGATGTTTCTAAGACCCACCTGCCTCCTTTTTGTGGTTGTGAGTTGCTTTGAATTGTTTTAAATATTATTTTTAATGCTGTATCCCACCCTGGGACCATACAGTGAAGGGCTGGTAATTAATTAATTAATTAATTAATTAATTAATTGCTGAGTAATAGATCTACAGATTATGATCTGTACAAATGAAGCTATTCAACAAGCTAAAGCAATTTGCACCAATCATTGATAAAAGATATCCACCAATTGTTTAATTATATATATTTTCGTATCCCACCTTTTCCTCCAAGGAGCTCCAAGGTGGCCTACATGGTTCTCCCTCTCCTTATTCAATCTCCATAGCAACCCTGTGAGGTAGGTTAAGCTGAGAGATAGTGAATAGCCCAAGGTCACCCCATGACCTTCATGACCGGGTGCAGATTTGAATCCTGGTCTCCTAGGTTCTAGTCCAACACTAACCACAATACCGCTCTTTCTCTCAGTGGCATCTTTCCACATTAACTTGAGACATTCCCAGAGTCCTTTGGAGAGTCCTTACTCTTCTTGGCTCAGTTGTAAATGGATTCGACTAGTTTCACCAGCTTAGCCATAGGGATTCAAGTCCACCATAATCAATAGCTGCCATTACCTTGTCTGAGATATAGCATAGGGCAAGTCTGGGATGGCTATAGAAGCAATGCACATCTAGGACGAGCCAAATGTCTAGAAATGACAGCTGCATTCAGTTTTGCCCCTAGTTGGCCGACAGAAAGACTGTATATCAGGTCCTCCCTTAAAGAGGGCACGTATTGTGGTGAGACCTGAACAACCGACACCCTGTGTTGTGGGTGGGAACATTTGGTAAGCCACAACACCCGATTGGTAGGTCCCTCGAAGCTGGGTACAATCTGGCCAATGGGATGCAGTCCAAACGGTTCGATGCACGTGACCCAGAGCGTCCTCTTTCGGCACATGCATTCGGAACACCCACCCACCTCTCCCGACTTTTAGGGCTTGTTGCGCTTGACCTTGCTATGCCGTCATGTGTCGTCTGTCGTTGGGACAGGGGCACAGCAGGAATTTTCCCCACTTGGCTGATTGGCTGTTGCCATTTGGGTTTCGCCTGCCATGTAGCAAATCGTCACAACTTGTAAGGTTGTGGATAGGCTCTGGTTCAGGTGATAGGGATGGGAGAACGCTCTCGCCATCCCTATGTGAAGGGTATTCCGTTAAAGGAATCCAGGGACTCAATGGTTTGGTCAACCCCTGAGAGGGGGTTGTGCCCATGCCTGAGTCCAGGGGGACATTTGGGTGGTGGAGTTAGCCCGTGCCCAGTTTTCCGCTTATCCAGGTGTTCACCCTTGGCTGACCTATGCTGGAACCCTGGGTCAGCGCTACCTGCATGGCAGGGAGCTAGTCGAACCAGAGCCTATGCAACCAGTCACTTTCTGTAATCAATAAAGTTGTGGCCTAAATTCTGCCAAAAACCAAACCAAAAATTTGAGTCAAGTGTGAATTTATTTGGGGGGGGAGGTTTCTGGGTCTGAACATGCAATTAATTTTGGCAATTTAGCATAGACATTCCTATCTCTCATACAGGGAAACATTAATTTAGAGCTGCAGATGCACATAGCTGAATTGGGGCATTTTGCTTGTTGCAGTCAGTAGTCCAAACTACTAATCTATTATGCTCCCACTCCACAAAGGTTGGTATTGCCTTTCTCAATTATCAACATGTTTGAAATGTTTCTATGATGCTTGCCAGAGGAGTGGGAAGTTGAAGGCAACTTTGGCAAGAGTTTGTTTCCTCTGGAGGAAAGCACTGTGGAGATGTTTGTTGTCTTTATAATAACCTGTCTATCTCTGCAAACAGACAGATTGAGAACAGAAACGTCAAGAGTCCAATAGCAGACACAGCTGGCTCTGAAACAATTCAGGTTCCTTCAAATCCAATGGGCTTTTTGGAGTCTAGCAGGAAGTCTAGGTGTGCTGAAACAAGCACACGGGTGTTTTCCTATTTATAGGCAAAAAGTGGAAAGAGGAATTAATGTTAAATAAGGGGAAATGGAGCTTGTTGCACCACTGCCCACCAGCTCTTAAGAATTTGTAAGTGTGGTGCATTTAGGTAATTTTAGACAGTGGTCTTCATGGTCTCATTGTGTGTAGTACTTCACTCCAAGATGTAACAAGCCAGCCATGCAGCACTGGTGGGGGGGGACCACTCCTGCTCAATCTGTTGAGTGTGGCCCTGGCCGTTCAACCCAAAAGCCCTGCCCCAATGGCACTGCCGTTGTAATCCTCACCTCCAGATGATGGACTACAGCTCCCATCATACCCAGCATAGCCAATAGTCAGGAGCAGAAGTTCAGAAACAGCTACAGGACAGGATGGTGGCAACACCTGGTCTATAGCAAAGCCTAAAAGAAAACCCATTTCTACCATTTACGTAACACAGCAGCATGGCTCCCAAGACCACCATATGCCATAAAGGATTTTTATGTCAACATCACATAATAATGCTTAGTTTTTCAAACTGAAGCTCAATTTTGTGAGGGGTTTTTTTAAAAAAACAAAACAAAAACAAACTAGAAGTCCCATCCGCCTATCTACTAAGAAGTAAGTCCCACTATTTCAGCGGGGCTTAGCTAGTCAAAATTAGTTGACCTTACTTAAATATTGTTGAAATTAATGGAACAAGTCAGTCACAACTTAGGCTGAAGCAAAAGGGAACAGGAACACTTCCCTCTCCACAGGAAATAACGCCTCCCTTTCAGAATTCCCTCCCCGCAGACTGACTTATTTATTTATTAGATCTGTATACCACCCATCAGCAAAAGGCCTCAGGGCGATTCACAAGATAAAAACCACCAGATAAAAGCACAAATAAATAGTAACAGAAACAACGAAACAATAACCCAGGGCAGAAAGCTTTCATACCTTCAGCATGTTTTGCCCTCACTCTCAATAAGCTTTGCCTCGTCATAAAGCCAAATCTGATGCCATAGCAAGCTTATACTATTCACAGGATCCCCGACAGGCTGGAAATACTATCTGTAGAAGGAAGATACAGTTTTTTAAACAAGCAAACAAACAAACAAACAAACACAACAGTATCAAAGCAAGTACTGAGGGTTAGTGAACAGCATCTTAAAGTTAAGCAGTCAAGGGAGGGAATTGAACACCTGACCAGGGCCAGCCCTGTCATTAGATAATGTGAGGCAGCTGCTTCAAGGCAGCAAATGCTGGGGGTCAAGGAGCAGCAATGAGGTACTGAAGGATGGAGCCGTGTGTGCTGCGCAGTCTGCCCCCAGTTTCCTAAACCAGCTGCTGTTCACAGCTCACTGCCCTATTGCCAAAACTGAAGTGAGAATTAGCTGACTGTCCAATTGGCTTCTGTACATTTACCGATAGTGGCAGGGGGTATCTTGACCAAAATGCCTTAGGTTGGCCCTCCTCCTGGAAAGGTAAAAGGTAAAGGACCCCTGGACGGTTAAGTCCAGTCAAAGGCGACGATGGGGTGCGGCGCTCATCAGTCGTGCTGGCCACATGACCTGGAAAAGTGTCTGTGGACAAACTCCTAAAAGTAAGCCCTCCCTTTAACAGACAGACACATACACACACACACACACACAACACACACACACACACCCAACTGCAAACTTTATATTGTTCCACTGACCTGGGTATCACTGGTTTTCTATGGGCATGGTCTAAAAAGCAAAGTCGGCCACCTTTATGTTTCTCCTGAGAAAAGAAAGAGATTTAGATTTAAGTCTGTCTGAAAAACCACAGTGAAAAAGATGCTTGCATAAATAAAGATTTTTATTGTTATCTTCTGCTTTAATTTTTTTTTTACAAAAATCACGTCAGAGCATACTTAGTCCAGCAAAGTGAAGTGACCACACTGGGCTGCCAAATTAGTTTATCAACATCCTGGGAGTGATTTGGGTGTTATTTATTCCTGCTATGAAGTCAAATGTCGGTGACTTCATCATGCCAAAAGCAGCTGCGTTAAAAGGGGTGGGTGTGGAAGTGTGTAACAGTCTCAACGACAGAGGGAGGAGCTGCTTCAGTACTCTTCGGAAACCACAAGAAAACACCTCAGAAACATTCACAAAGGCACTCCGCAGCCAGCCCCAGTGCTCCCAGAGCTACCCAAGTCTTTGCTAGAAAGGTATGTACTTCTGCTTCTCTCTGACTTCATAACTTTGTTAACGGTGGAATTTCCCCAAAAGTTTTCTTAGCTCCCAGTTGCAGCTACTAATGAACTTTTCTTTTTCTGTGTTACAAAATTTTATTTAGAAACATTGGAAGCTGTCTCATCCCAAGTTAGACCACGGGTCCATGAAGGTTTTAGACAGGGAGCACTCTACATCTCTACCTGGAGATGGCAGGGATCAAACCGGAGACCTTGCGCATGCAAAGCAGATGCTGTACCACTGAGCTACAGCCTTTCCTCAGTGTGTCCCTTTGTTCCCAAAGGGCTTGTTATTTCTACTTACTGCATTGCAGCGACAGCTTTTATCGATGAATGCAATTACTTGTTGGGAGCCAACATGCACACAGACGCACACACAGTCCCTTTGCCTCTGACACAATGGATGTGCACACACAGCTGATTTTGATAGTATTAAAATTAGGGTGCCAAGGCAGGACTTGCCAGTGGGTTACATAAATGTCCGAGGCATGGGTCACTAAAGTTACAGTTCTAAACGCGATTGTAAAAGGCAGTGAGGCCCACTGAACACAGGGGGACTTACTTCTGAGTAAGCAGGCACAGGATTGCTCTGCTAGCTACTAAGGGGTCATTGGCTGGTGATGGCAGCCAGTTTCAAGGAGTTGTGGACCCTTCATGTTTGGGATGATGCATGTAGAATGATGATCTTTAACTGCTGGATCAGGACCCATATGGGTTGTCCCTGCAGCATTGCCAGGACCATTTCCTTTTGTTGTGCTTTTGTTTTTTGTTTTTTCAAATGAGAGAGACAAGAGGAGGAAAACAGAGAGATAAAAGTGTAAAAATAATTGAAATGGCTCCCAAGTTGCAGGCTGCAAAGATGGATCCTAGCTTTGAAAAGGCTGCAGAAGGCAGTTATGGTTATGAAAAGAAACAACAGTTATCTGGTTCCTAGTGCAATTGCCTTGTTGTAGGAAATGTGACATAGGGAATAGACATGAGCAGAAATACCCTAGCGTGCGTACTTGGGAGTAAGTCTCATTGACCTCACTGGAACTTAGCTCTGAATAAAAATGCAAAAGAACATGTTATGAAACAAAGTGACAACTAGGTAGAGAACTTTATTTCTCTGTATATGCATATATAAATGTCTCTGGGTTGGTGGACTAATATGTTTTATTAATATATTTGCAAATTGGCAATAGCACTAGTACATGCGTCTGAGCAGGTGAGCAACTAAATTTCATGAATATATTTGCAAGTTTGTAGTAGTAGCAGCAGTACTACTAGTAGTAGATGTGTCTGGGCAGGTGGGCTAATAAATTTTATGGAGTTTGCTGTTGTAGTAGTATTAACGGCAGTGGCAGAAGCAATAGCACTGGAACTCCAGACCATCACTTCATTTGCCTGCAACATACGTGTTTCGTGTAGGGCAGCTGTGTGACAAATTACAGTGGTGCTTGCTCCCCAATGCAATCTACAGAAACTAGTCCTACCTGGTCTCAGAACATTAGGTGTCCTGTGAGATTTCCCCAAGTCCCATTCCTTAACTCATAATTCCCCTTCCCTGAATTGCACTCATCTTGCTTTATTGGCCGAGGGAGCCGGCGTACAGCTTCCAGGTCATGTGGCCAGCATGACTAAGCCGCTTCTGGCGAACCAGAGCAGCGCACGGAAACGCCGTTTACCTTCCCGCCGGATAACCTATTTATCTACTTGCACTTTGATGTGCTTTTGAACTGCTAGGTTGGCAGGAGCAGGGACCCAGCAACAGGAATTCACCCTGTCGCGGGGATTCGAACTGCCAACCTTCTGATCGGCAAGTCCTAGGCTCTGTGGTTTAACCCACAGCGCTACCCGCGTCCCATGCAAAGTAGCATTTACTTAAAAGATGGAGAACCTGTGGCCCTCCAGATGTTGTTGAACTCCAGCTCCCACCAGCATGGTCAATTGTCAGGATGGTAGGCACTGTAGCACAGCAGAGGGCCACAGGTTCTCTACTCCAGTTTTTAATTGCTAGAAGGAAAAACAAAATCAAATGAACAAAAATCCCACACTGATATAAAGAAATGGAAGGAGGGGGACACGGAGCCCATGAGACAAGATGAAGCAACCACCTCAGGCAACAGGGTCCACTGTGGGCAGCAGATCCTGATGTCAATCTCTTCTCTGTTCCTGATGTAGATCTTCCCTACACCCCATGTTCTTTGGTGGGGAGGCATCATTTTGGAGGTCCGCCTCAGGTACTGAAATGTCTTTGGCTGGCCTGGTGGGAGTGAGCATAAATACTCCATTAAATCTGTAATGCATGTTCAGCTGCAAAGAACCTATTAAGCTGCAGATAACCTTTTATGTAAGGAAAAAACTCCTACGTAAAAGCTTCTCTTTCCTGAGGGAATCTGCAGGAAGAAATAGATAGGGTTTGTTTTCCTGGCAGCTTTGTCTTCTATTGGGAGTATGGGAGATGTGCTCAAGCTTGATTACGAAAAGGATCATAGAACTGTAGAGTTAGTCCAATCCCCTGAAAAGCAACAATCACAGCTAAAGAATTCCATTTAAAATCCAACCTCTGCTTAAAAACCTCCAGTGGTGGAGGGTTCACCACCTTCCAAGGTGGTCCATTCTACTGGTCCCAACTGGGAGATTCTGGAATCAGACAGTTGATGAGAAGAAGGACAGTTTCAATTGACCTCAAATCTCACTGGAATTCAAGAGGCAGCCTTATACCAGGCCAGAACATTGTTGCACCTAACTCAACACGGTCTGCATTGACTGGCTGTGGTTCTCCAGGGCTTCAGAAGGGACTTTCATTGTCCTAGTTGAAGATCCCAGGGCAGTGAAGTTAGGAGATTAGGTGTTATTCCATCAATGCAAGCATTTCAACTTGCACAACAGAGCAACATTTGTTCTGCAAGTTCCTCCAACCTTCTACAGCAGAGGGCAAGGAGACGAGTGGGGGAAGTTCCATTGTAGAAGTGGAAACTCTTCCATTGATTGAATGAGTTAGCTGGATACTGCTCTCTGTCTGCAAAACATGTGAGATATGGTCCATGCCACTGAGATATGGTCCTTATATTTAGTTATCTCTTCCCAAAGGTTTTATTTTTTTAAGTTGCAAAAACCCACTTTTATTCAAATTTCCAAAAGGTGTGTTTTAAACACAAAGGTATTTTTTAAACCACATGGAAACTGTGGACAGGGGTAGGGGGGAAATTGTTTCACTTCACCCTTAAAGGCAAAGCTACTTAATTTGCACATTCCAAACCAATACATAAATTGAAACACAACCATCTTTCAAAATTTCCACATCGGTGAATTTTGCAGTGCAGGTCTCCAGCCAAGTAGTGTGTATAAAAATGCATATACTAAGATAAAATGTGCATAAAAATAAAAATAGTAGGGAAAATATTAATATACAAAAGTACATTATATTAGTGAAGATTTCTTTGCAAAAATGTATATAGGGCAAAATTTAATTTTAAAATTTATATATTGTGAGAAACTTTCATTGAAATGTCAATGAAGAGAGAGAGAGAGCTGTACACTGCCCTGAGTTCTTTTGATAAAGGGTGGTATATAAATTGAATAAATTGTGTGTTTTCAGTTCTCCACATTTCTGCATCAGTTTGTAATATATATCACAAACAGATGTAGAAATGTGGAGCACTGAATAGTGGAAAAATGAGAAACTGAGAGCAACTGAAATTGACAGATTTGCCCAGTCCTTTTTTAAAAAAAAAATAATATTTATTAGTTTTACAACAATTTAAACACTACAAAGAGAGAACAACAACAACAAAAAGACAAAAAAACAATACAATACAATGCAAAAAAAGACTAACAAAACATAACAAAAGCAATTTAAAAACACATCAGAAAGACAAAAAAAATTCTATATCTTATCTTCCTTTCCCCTATTTCCACGACCTCCTCACACCTCCCTTTTTGTATTCCACTTCTATTAATTATTTCAGCAATTCCTTTCCATCTTCCCCTGTTTTCTATCCTATAATTATCCTAACACATTTTAACCTTATTTTTCCTTTAATACTCTATTAATCTATTTATACTTAATTCCTTATAACATTTCTACTAAAGCCATATCACTTCCCTCCAACGTTCTTCTAGCATTCACAGATTTGCCCAGTCCTAATGGCGGATGTGTTCTGATTTTGTTAGTTCCCAAAGACTGCAGAGGTACCTGCCATTAGGCCTTGCTTCCACTTCCTGTAGGTGGGCTCACTTGGGCTGTGTTCATCTTATTTCAGTCCCATTTGTATACTACCCATACAAATGTATCCCAGAGCGGTTCACAATGAGAATTTACAAGTAAAGGTAAAGGTAAAGGGATCCCTGACCATTAGGTCCAGTCGTGGCCGACTCTGGGGATGCGGCGCTCATCTCGCTTTATTGGCTGAAGGAGCCGGAGTACAGCTTCCGGGTCATGTGGCCAGCATGACTAAGCTGCTTCTGGTGAACCAGAGCAGCGCACGGAAACACCGTTTACCTTCCCGCCGGAGCAATATCTCTTTATCTACTTGCACTTTGACATGCTTTCAAACTGCTAGGTTGGCAAGGGCAGGGACCAAGCAAAGGGAGCTCACCCCGTCGTGGGGATTCGAACCACCAACCTTCTGATCTGCAAGACCTAGGCTTTGTGGTTTAACCCACAGCGCCACCCGCGTACTACAATGCAATTAAACAACTGCATAAAGCAGGGATCAGCAGACTTTTTCAGCAGTGGGTTGGTCCACTGTCCTTCAGACCTTGTGGGGGACCGGAAATTATTTTTTTTGGGGGGGGGATGAATGAATTCCTATGCCCCACAAATAATCCAGAGATGCATTTTAAATAAAACACACATTCTACTCATGTAAAAACACCAGGCAGGCCCCACAAATAACCCAGAGATGCATTTTAAATAAAAGGACACATTCTACTCATGTAAAAACACGCTGATTCCCGGACGGTCCGCGGGCTGGATTTAGAAGGCGATT